AATATTCTTATGAAAATCCAAAAAAAAAAAAAAAACTGAAAGATGAGTAAGGCTGACATTAATACTCCAATTAAAATATAACAGAGGAAATTTTATAAAAATGACTTTAATGTACCGACTCCATAACTGCGTAATAAGCGATCATTACTGGAAGGGACACTATAGTTCCGAAGATCACCCTGCAAAAATTTTATAAACTATCAGTCTCTAATTAAACAATCCAAACATTTTTCTTCTTAAATATATATATTCAAAAAAAAAATTCTTATTTGTCTTAAAATTTAAACTGATGAAGTTCACTAACTTACGCAGAACTCAAGACATCTGCATGTAATCCATATTCTTTGGCGAAGATGAAGGTTGTAATAGATTGTGGCAATGCTGCCTGCAATTAAAGCAAACATTTTTGTTTCATTAACATCATTAAATGTATGAACATATATATATGTGTGTATGTATACAAATTAAAAACTATTTAAGTACAAATAATTTTAATTGATAAAGTACATTATGCTTAAATTTGTCTTAATTACCCTCTGTATATGAGCGGAACAATATGCTATTTACATTTATACTTGTGACTAGTCGAGTTAAAGATTTAAATACAAAATGTTTTTATCCAATAGTAGATTGGAAAACAAGTTGTACTCACCTGAATGATGGCGACGTGGAAAACGTCGCGGTGCAGGCCCACAGCGACGGCGCCAATAGCGGTGGACGCGGGTCCTGCAATGAACCTCAAAACCATCCCAAAAATAGTCAGGCTTGTACCGCAGGCTATCAACTTTTCCTGCAAAGCCATGAAGATCCCTGCACTCATTTTCAATTAATTAGTTAATTAATTAAAGAATACAAGCTTCAAAAAAGGTTTTTATTTTATTTTTTTACCCAAGCTTTTAAAAAGAAGTTAACCTGGAATAAAAATGGCTAGCTCAACCTCTTTTCTTTAATACTTTTTCACATATTGTATATTAGAAAAAACAAATGAAAAAATATTTTATAATTCGAACCCTTGTGTGCTATAAAACATTAATTATGATGATAGGGTCCTCTAATAATGGTTACAAGCTCCTTTATCTAATGATTGGTATTTTATAATTCAATCTTCAAATTAAACTTAAAATAAATACAAGAAGGAAAAAAAGAAAAAAAAGAAAAAAAAAAGAAAAGATAGACATAAACAAAATTGGAAAAAGATTGATATATCTTTAGTTTAATATATTTTTTAACACTTGTCTGGTTGAGTTATTAAAATATAATATAAGTTTAATCAATTCAATCAATTGTTGTATTTTATATGCATGATTATATTTTTACATTTGTTTATTTTAATTTTATATTAAAAATAATAATTTTTTAATAAACATGTTATATAATATGTTAAATATAAGAGAATATATCAATTAGTGTCCAAAAAAAATTACTATTCTTAAAATATTAAAATACCTTTAGAATGCAATAAAACTTAAAACTCTCCCAATTATAGATATGAAGGAATGACTTGGATAGTCTGCCCACCCCTTTTTATAGATCTAAAATGGTCATTGCACCCTTTAGTTGGCAATTATTGTCAAAAGGAACCTTTCCATTTGAAAGCTTT